ATGACCACATCCATTAAAATATTTTCTTATCCCACTGTAGTGGCAACAGCCTACTTGAGAGTGGCATCTATGCCCTGAATTCAGGAGCAATGCAGCTTCAATGCCATACCATCAAAGGAAGCTGCATTTTGTGAGCTTCTTTGGCAAGGTCAACAGGTGTTTGTGAGAATACGCATTTATTCACGAATATTTTTTTATTGTGTTATAGAAAATATGTACAAAACCACTATTCATTCCTTTTTTAGTGGGAAAAATGTAGTGCCGTAAGCCTACTTGATGTCTCATTGTTGTCTGTATAGCACCTGCTAATTGTTAAACCTGCCATTTCACTCTGTGTACGATGATCTAATCCATTTTATGGCTTCCTTGTTCATCCTGCTCTTTGAATGCATTTCAGGAGTCTGGTGTAGCCAATAAAACTGCCAGCTGCATCAATTCACAACTGGGATCTTCATGTTTCAATATTCTTATGTTGTTTTTACTGTAATTGAAGTGCAAGCCAAATATAATGTTCTTTGTTTTAAAAGCTCAACATGCAACATTGGTAAAAAGATCCCTATTGCTTTGTGTTTGAGGAGCTGGTCTGGTGCTGCACTATAAACCAGTAGTAGTCTTGGACTTTGTTTACCTTAGCTGGCCTAAAGTTGGGCACACTCTGCTAGGTTTTTTTTTTTTCGTTCAGCCAGTAGGCTGAACAGGGAAAAAAAAAAAGAAAAAAAGACTATTGCTTAGTACACACGATGAGAAAATTGGACGAAAATCTGATTATGACACAGTTTTCGAGAGCCGATCACTACATTTCATTCAAAATTATTCCGAATGGACAAGCACAATTTTTTTTCTCTTACAATAACAGAGCAAAAGATTTTCATTTAATCATAAAAGTATTCTGGAAAAAAAAAATCGAGTGACCAAGACCGCTCATGCTCGGAAACAAAGAAATACATGACAATACAATACAATTCATCACTTCCAAAATTTTATTCTGTTTTATGAGAATTTTTGTAACTTTAGTAATCTCTTCATTTACAATACAAGACTAGCATGTATCGTGTGACACAAAAAAATTGGAATTACCCCTTTTTTATTTTCTAGGGTGTCTTCTTTCAGAAAGCATAATGTTTGGGGGTTTTGTGTAATCTTCCGGCCTAAAATGATTTTTAAAACTTGTTTGAGAAAAAAAAAAATGCAAAACCGGCTCTGGCAGCAAAAAGGTTAAAGCAGAACTACAGTGTATCTGAGTACCACAAACCAAAAGTACTTTTTAATCCATTTTTAATATTCAAAGCAAACTTGCCCATCCATGTCTCCATGCTTTGTTTGCTTAGAAATCACTAGCATTTCTGGATGTGGCCATCTTGAGTAAGGGCAGATGATACATGTAGCATTTACTTCCCGGAGATAGTCTGCCCTTAGCTCAGGCCATAAGAGCAGGAGGGTGTGCTTAGCTGAGTAAACCCCTCCTCCCCTCCTGAAGACTCCTGGAATGTATGACATCATTTGCCTAAGAATTGAAAATACGAAGTAACTGAAGAAGTATAAATAAAAACAGTTTAAAACCAATAAATATGATATACTTTCCAATCTATGCACTAATGTTAGCAACATAAGGATTTAGCATAGTCATTGTTGATTGAGAGAGCGAGGTTCCGCTTTAACAAGGTTCTCTATCCACACAAGTGTGAAAAATGGAGGAATTCCTGTCCGGCACTACTGTATGCTGACCGTGGCAAACACCGCTGCCAGAATACACTGATCAGCAGTTGCAACTGATTGGCTGCAGACGCTGATCGAGGAAAATTTTGGAGCAGTGCATGGGCGGGTTCAAATCTTTTTGATGCTAATCGGCAGCATTTTTTGCTAAGTGCTTTACACTCTATACAAAAAAGTGGAAAGGCAAACGTAAGTTGGTGCAGCTTAGGAGGCCAGAAGTACCTGTGCAGAGTCTCAGAAGAATCCTAAAGTGGAACTAAACTCAACAAGATAAATATTCATAATCCTTTTGCTGCTAGCATTAGTAAATAGATAGGAAGATAAGTTTTTATTTGTTTTTAACATTTTTGTAGATTACTTAAGTTTTCTACAGATAGTTTCTGGCCTAGGCCTAACTGATGTCATACATCCCATGTGTCTTCATGGGCATTTTTTCCCCTTTGATCTGGAGGAAGGGAGGAAAGGCTTTTGTCAGCTAAGTGCACCCTTTCTCCTGCATGCCTGAGATAAGGGCAGATAGATTTCAGCAAGTAATTGCTACATAAGCAGGGGTGTGGAAATCTTTTTAAAAAACTACTTGTCCAGGGACTAAATCGGAGCCCCAATCTATTTGTCCTGATAAAAACATTTTTTTTTAAACCAAAACCGTATTTAAATCTGCTTTAAGTAATGTCTGGGGCTTTTAAAAACAAAAGGGGCTTTATGGCAACTTAAATGTTTAATATTTTTAACATTGCACTCTTTATCTCCTCTTCACCCCACTTCCTGTCTCCAGCACCACACCCAGGGATTAGCAGGGGGGAGAGACCTTACAGTGTAAAGAGCACTGATTGGGCACTTGTCAGGACAGGGAGTGTCCAGCTTATCCTTTATCGCTTTCATGCCAGAGTTTATTTTTGCACGTTTTTTTTTGCACGTTTAGAAAAAAAAATCATGTAAGGCCTGAAATGCTAAATTTCAGTAAAAAATACACTCAAGTTGATTTTAGGGCACAAAAAGCAATAAATGATCCAATTTTTTTGTAACCTATAAAAGATAAGGTTGCATCAAGTAAATAGATACCCAAAATGTCAAACCTTAAATTTGCGTGCGCTCGTGAAATAGCAATAAACTTTAGTGCCTTGTGTTTTCTAAAGGTGATGCTTTTAAAGCCCCTTATAGGTCATCGGTATAGTGTTACGGAGGAGGTCTGGTGCTAAAATGATTGCTCTCATTCTGGCGTGGGTGGTCATATGTAACGTGTATCGCAATCATAGGCGCCGCAGCATGTACCTTTGCTTTTGTACGTCCATATATGTAGGGGTGGTGGGAGGGGTCCTCGAAAAAAAATTGGGGTTATATGCTTGGGTATAACTTTAATTTTTTTTTCATCGCATAGGGGACAAAAAGTCCCCATGTGACAATTTTTTGGTGACAGGTTCTCTTTATTGAGACATCCAAGGTCTAAAAGACTGTGGATGTCTCCCCTGTGCTCCACTGGATGTAATGCAGTGCACATCGCAGGCTGGGAATCTGTCAACGGAGACCTTGAAGTGATGTCACATCACTTCTGGGTCAGGACAAGAAGGGGAGGGGAGCGGATGTGTCCGCTCTCCTCTCTCCCCTACACCTGCTAGCACCCTCTGAACTGGTTTCAGGCCCGCAAATGGGCAAGCGGAGCCCAAGACATATAGTGGGCAGGGGGGCGGGTGAAGGCTGGCACCATAGTGGGCTGTGTGGAAGGAATTGGGGCGGCAGCGCTGCAGCCCCAATGCTTCCACCTGACAGATGAGCCAAGCTGCTTGCCCGCAGCAGGGCTACAGGTTAACCACCTCCCGTCCGGCCGTTGTATATAAACGGCCGGGCAGTGGCAGGGTGTTTTTCAAAGTGATTTCTCAACAAAATAAATCATGGCAGCATGAATGGCTGAGTTTGCTATGGATAATAAAAATGAATTAAATAGCCTTTTCCATTTGTGGTGCTCAGATACAGACTAATTGTGTTTTAAATGCAACGTAGTCTATCTAAAGCCAATGTCCTTTTTTTGACTGTGATTCTAATTCTTGCCTATTCTATTCCAAAGTAAAAATATGTTTTTTGATTTACTTTAAAGCATGCTTCATTTGCACTTCTTCACAAGCGCCAAATCCGATCCTACTTACCACTCGGACACCATGCTACTCTGCCTTCTCCTACCCACCTGAATTTGCTTGAAATTCTGGGTAATCTTGTAGCCTCAAGAACTGGTCTACTGACACTTACCTTGCCAGTGCTCTCCCTCCATCATTTCTTTCATCACTAAAATCCCCATTGTTGGCTGTTGGACACTAGGGGAAGTGGTGAAATGACAATGATTGGGCCGTGGACATGGCTGTTAGACCCGTGCATTGCACATAGGGAGAGGTACATGCTCCCCAATCCCCAGGGGAACCAGGTATTGTCACTGACTTCAATGGAGGCACGCACTGCAAGGGAGTGCTGGCAAGATAACTATTGGTGAGTTGGGGCCCTTTGCAAAAACACAGTCACTTTTTTTCTGACCTTGATATCAGGCTGTTGTCATGGTCGGGGTGGGAAAACATTGGTGGTAAGATACTCCATCAACTTGACCATTTAGGTAAAGTGATGGGGTCTCCTTAAAGGATAAGTTCACCTTTTGGGGGAAAAAAATGTGCATTTATTATTTTTTTTTTCCCCACAGAAACCTGCAAAGCATTGCACTCTTGATCAGTAGATCAGGGGGTGACAGGAGGAACTGCTGGAACATGTTACACCCGAAATATAGTTGTAACATGCACCAGAAGGTGAACTTAGTTTTTAAAGCTCAACCCCAAACTACTAGTTGTACTTAACTTTGTAGCATCCCTGCTGTGCCTCCTTCTGTCGCAGCTGCTGCTGAAAAATGCCCGGTCCTTCCAGATATGGGGCAACCTGTGACCTCCCTCCTTAATGCAAAGATTGGCTGCTAATTCTGAACACTGTCTAATCACATTATCAACTAATGTAAGTGCTGGTATATTGTGACAGCAAAGTAAAGTGAAGTCCTCTGATAAAGTGGCCCTGGGCTGTGTTTGAACGAGATGCTCTGGGTCCTTTTTTTTTTTTTTTTTTTTCTTTCATTGGCTACCTGGTATCAAATGATAAACGATAGGTTTTAATAAAGTAAAAGTCAAGGGTTTGCACTTCTTGAAAACTGATAATGCCAGAACGTGTAATTTTTTGCATGTGTGAATTCCTTGTTTTATTTAAAAAATATGTTTTATAGCATGATAGAAGCTATTTATTACTTTTTTTTATTCCTTTTACAGGTCTCCTGAACTCTGCCCCTCTCCTCCTGCCAGGAAGACATATGCTGAATGCTAGCTTATTGGCAGCCAGTGGTGGATGTATGATCCCATATATGCTGGACCCAAGCTTTACCACTGGCATTACATGTCTGGGCTCTGTGTCCGCTCTGTCCGCTGTTATGGTAAGAGACAAACTGAGCTGTTCTTCTATTCATAGTTGGAGATTTTCTGCTTTTATTGAAAATTCATCATGGGTGTTTTTATGCTGACCCTAGTAGTCTAGTTTAGAACTCTTCATTTCCCAACTGAGGTTCATTTATTTAATTTTTAGCTTGAGACTGTCTTTTTCTGCCATAACCGATCTGCATTTATCACCTTCCTTCCAAAATCTGCTGAAATCTGCCTCCTACCACCAAGCACTCCTGCAGAGATAAGATGTTGAAACTGAACCAACTTTTTAAATAGATATCACAGCTTCCACTTAAAGCTGTTGTTGTATTTAAAATGGGTAACATGTGGCTGCCTATCTGTTAGACCTATAGGAGCATAGCATTGGAAGGGAAGGGATTGGTCTTATTAGACATCCACAGTGCTTTGTGTTCTTCTTCTCCCACCCTGCTTTAAAGTGAAATGTCAATGAATTCCAAGCAAACAGATAATTACGCTGTTCACATACACACACATGAAGAATTTACCTTCCAAAGGATTTACAGTTGTGTTCGGAGCCAGTATTGTGACACCCTCACCAGGCAGTACATGCCTATTAGATATGACGGGTTGAAGTTATCTGTACTGCAGTTTTTGCCCTCAAAATGGAAACCTGCTTTTAATGGAAAAGCGTAGTATTTGCCTTACTATTCTGACTGTAGTAAATCAATATAGCTTGGTCACTGACCTGCCCCAGCTGCAGTATTTTGATGAGGTCATCCCTGTGCTCTTGTTTCCTGCAAATATATTCGCATGTTAGATGCCCCCTTTTATGCAACTCAGTAAAAGTTTTAATTGGCTCACCATGCTGAACCTCTCTTTTTCTGAGTACTGTATTGCAAGATGGTAATTAAGCCAATAAAAAAAACATTCAGCAGTTAAAATACATTTTAATTTGTTTATTATTTATTTATTTCAGGTACTTATATAGCGCCGTCAATTTACACAGTGCTTTACATATATATTGTACATCCACATCAGTCCCTAACCCTCAAGGGGTGTACAATAATTCACATTCATACATACACACACTAGGGGCAATTTAGACAGGAGCCAATTAACCTACCTGCATGTCTTTGGAGTGTGGGAGTACCCTGAAGAAACCCACTTAGGCACAGGGAGACCATGCAAACTTTAGGCAGGTGGTGCCGTGGTTGGGATTCGAACCAACGAGCCTAGTACTGCCAGGCGGAAATGCCAACCATTTAGCCACATTTGCATTTTCGGGTAACGGGCGTGCGTACCACCAATGGCGGCTAGGGATGTCAACCACTGGGTCCCGGCCGATGATTCCCCGCCAGCACCCGGCGATTGTCGTGTAAAACTGACAGGGCAGAGACCTGTGTGTAAAACACAGGTTTCTCTCCTGCCAGCAAGGACATGCTGCTTTGTATTTCTCTGCACAACAGTGAAATACAAAGCAGCATATCTCTGTAGTAAAACAGCACATACAGTAAAACACACACAGCACATAGTTAACCCTTTGATCACCCAAAAGTTAACCCCTTCCTGCCCAGTGTCATTAGTACAGTGTCAGTGCTTTTTATTAGCACTGATCACTGTATTAGTGTCACTGGGGATGTCAATGGCAGTTAGTCAGTTCCCACCCAGTGTCAGAATGCCAGCCGCAGACCCGCTATAAGTCGCTGATCACTGCCATTACTAGTATAAAAAAACAAAAAAAAAAAAACAAATTTCCAGTGTATACAGTCAGGTCCATAAATATTGGGACATCGACACAATTCTAACATTTTTGGCTCTATACACCACCACAATGGATTTGAAATGAAACAAACAAGATGTGCTTTAACTGCAGACTGTCAGCTTTAATTTGAGGGTATTTACATCCAAATCAGGTGAACGGTGTAGGAATTACAACAGTTTGCATATGTGCCTCCCACTTATTAAGGGACCAAAAGTAATGGGACAATTGGCTTCTCAGCCGTTCCATGGCCAGGTGTGTGTTTTTTCCTCATTATCCCAATTACAATGAGCAGATACAAGGTCCAGAGTTCATTTCAAGTGTGCTATTTGCATTTGGAATCTGTTGCTGTCAACTCTCAAGATGAGATCCAAAGAGCTGTCACTATCAGTGAAGCAAGCCATCATTAGGCTGAAAAAAAAAACAAACCCATCAGAGAGATAGCAAAAACATTAGGCGTGGCCAAAACAACTGTTTGGAACATTCTTAAAAAGAAGGAACGCATCGGTGAGCTCAGCAACACCAAAAGACCCGGAAGACCACGGAAAACAACTGTGGTGGATGACCGAAGAATTCTTTCCCTGGTGAAGAAAACACCTTTCACAACAGTTGGCCAGATCAAGAACACTCTCCAGGAGGTAGGTGTTGTGTGTCAAAGTCAATAATCAAGAGAAGACTTCACCAGAGTGAATACAGAAGGTTCACCACAAGATGTAAACCATTGGTGAGCCTCAAAAACAGGAAGGCCAGATTAGAGTTTGCCAAACGACATCTAAAAAAGCCTTCAAAGTTCTGGAACAACATCCTATGGACAGATGAGACCAAGATCAACTTGTACCAGAGTAATGGGAAAGAGAGAGTATGGAGAAGGAAAGGAACTGCTCATGATCCTAAGCATACCACCTCATCAGTGAAGCATGGTGGTGGTAGTGTCATGGCGTAGGCATGTATGGCTGCCAATGGAACTGGTTCTCTTGTATTTATTGATGATGTGACTGCTGACAAAAGCAGCAGGATGAATTCTGAAGTGTTTCGGGAATATTATCTGCTCATATTCAGCCAAATGCTTCAGAACTCATTGGACGCCGCTTCACAGTGCAGATGGACAATGACCCAAAGCATACTGCAAAAGCAACCAAAGAGTTTTTAAGGGAAAGAAGTGGAATATTATGCAATGGCCAAGTCAATCACCTGACCTGAATCTGATTGAGCATGCATTTCACTTGCTGAAGACAAAACTGAAGGGAAAATGCCCCAAGAACAAGCAGGAACTGAAGACAGTTGCAGTAGAGGCCTGGCAGAGCATCACCAGGGATGAAACCCAGCGTCTGGTGATGTCTATGCGTTCCAGACTTCAGGCTGTAATTGACTGCAAAGGATTTGCAACCAAGTATTAAAAAGTGAAAGTTTGATTTATGATTATTATTCTGTCCCATTACTTTTGGTTCCTTAATAAGTGGGAGGCACATATGCAAACTGTTGTACTTCCTACACCGTTCACCTGATTTGGATGTAAATACCCTCAAATTAAAGCTGACAGTCTGCAGTTAAAGCACATCTTGTTCGTTTCATTTCAAATCCATTGTGGTGGTGTATAGAGCCAAAAATGTTAGAATTGTGTTGATGTCCCAATATTTATGGACGACTGTATATACCGCCATTGTAGACGCTATAACTTTCATGTAAACCAATTAATTTACACGTATTTGGATTTTTTTTCAGCAAAGACATGTAGAAGAATATATTTTGGCCTACATTTGTGACGAAATTTGATTTTTACAATTTTTTTTATTGGATATGTTTTATAGCAAAAAGGCGAAAATATTGTTTGTTTGTTTTTGTCGGTCTTTTTTTGTTTATAGTGCAAAAAATAAAAACCACAGAGGTGATCAAATACCACTGAAAGAAAGCTCTATTTGTGGGAAAAAAGGACATAAATTTCATCTTTGTACAGTGCTGCATGACTGTGCAATTGTCAGTTAAAGTAACGCAGCGCTGTATCGCAAAATATGGCCTGGCCAGGAAGGGGGGTAAATCCTCTGGAGGGCAAGGGGTTAAGTAGCTATCCTAGATGCAATGGTTGGTGGGGATCTTCAGTTCTAGTAGAGAGATTTTGCTTAAATCCCATAATAGGTATGGCAGAGTTAGGCCTTTCTTATACCCCTTAAAATCAATTAAAGGGCAAGTTATGTGTCCTTTTTTCACCACATTCCTTATTGGATCATGTATAGGAATATGAAATGGACAACTAAGTAGTCTATAAAGCAGGGAATATGACTTTTGCAATCATTTAAAACACGTAATCCTAGATGGTTCTCCATTAGAGAAATATTTGTGAAAGTCACATTCTTTGCTATATAAATAGACCAGTAGGTGTTCAGTTGAAAAGCCAAATTTGACATTTCCAAGTTGTGCCCATGGCGGATGTAGCTGATCTTGCCACTGGTGATCGACCTTTAACCACTCTGTTAAAATTTCTGGGTGTAGTTCTTCTTTACCTGTTTTATCCACTGTCCTGGATAAAGCAGTGGCCATGTTTGCCTGCAGAAATCTTGTCATTTTGGTCCCATGGCTGTTTGACGTGCTTTATTTTTGTACCACATTTACAAACAAATCCTGGAAATCCTTGCTAAAAGCTATTTTTTTTTTTTTCAACTGTACTGGTTGTGGTGCCTGGTTGGTTGTGTTTGCAGCAGTTATTTGCTAGCATTTGTGTGACCTATAATATCTACTTACATGTTCTCCACAGGGTGTCACTCTCACAGCTGCTATTGGAGGGGCAGATATGCCCGTGGTCATCACCGTGCTGAACAGCTACTCTGGTTGGGCCCTTTGTGCAGAGGGATTCCTGCTGAACACAACAACTTGCTGACCATTGTGGGCGCTCTCATTGGTTCTTCTGGAGCTATTCTGTCCTACATCATGTGTGTGGTAAGGAAACCAGCAGCAGCACTGGAGGGCTGCAACATTTTTCATTTACAGAGCAATTCTGTTTGTTTCATGCAATTCAAAATGAAAGAAAAAAGTGCTAAAACTACCTGTAATATGTATGTAAACCTAAAGGATAAATTCACCTTTAAAAGCATGTTACATGTTACACACATATTTAGGATGTAACGTATAACATGCTCCAACGCACCCACCTCCTGCCACCATCACCTGTCCTTTCTGTGACAGCAGGTGGGGGTTCTTCTTTCAGCATCCGCTGTTACAATTTGTAAACAGTGCGGCCGTGTGGGGTTCTGCCCACACTGCCTTTTCATTCATTCAGTTTCCTGTGAACGAGTAGACTACATGTACCAACAGCCATTGCAGCTGATTGATTTTAGTTCTCAATGAACTGTGAGGGCACTGGTGAGCGCTCTTGTAATTCATTGATTCTTCCATACAGGAGTTAGGGCAGACCGTTTACTGAGAGTGTGCAGGAACCCGACATTGCAACTATGTTATGCAGATCGTGGGTGCATTGTTTTACAGGCTGCAATGTAAAAAAAATAAATAAAGATGTGCATTTATTATTTGTTTTTTTTTCATACGGTGAACTTATCCTTTAAAAAAAGAATAATTTACACATCTGGCATCCACTGGTTCTCTGCAGCTTGGAGAAGGGTCATTATTCACGACTTTCCAGGCTCAAAATGCCTCTCACCGCATGCATGGATAACAGCAAAACAAAAACTGGAGGGGTACTTTCAGCTGCTGTATGTAAGGTTAATGGCATTTAGGTGCTTGCTTTTCGTACCTGTTAGCAGTTCTTTTTTTTTCACTTTAACCACTTGCCATCCACCTGCTGTTTATAAACGGCAGGGCGGTGGCACTCCAGGGGTGGGTTGCCGTTCATAAACGGCACCCGCCATTTTTTAGCTGTGCGCGCTCCCTGGGAGTGCGCAGCACCGCGATCCAGTGCCAGCTGTGTCCTCTGGACACAGTGAAACACCGATCGTTCGGACGGGACCTCTATACGAGGTCCCGATCATGTGATCACTGATTGGCCAATTAGTGATCACATGCAAAGTAGTAAGCAAGATGTCACTTGTGACATCATTGCTTACTACGTGTGAAATCTGTGAATGATCACAGAGGTCACATGGTACAAGGCTATTCACAACAGCCTTGTACCATGTGACCAATCACAGCTCACTCAGTATTTCTCAATGGCTGCAAGAATGCAGACAGAGAGAAAGAGAAATGATTGCTTTTACATCCTATATGGGTGTAAAAGCAATCACTGTAAAAAAAAAAAAAAAAAAAAAATTTTCATCACCCCCAAAAGTAGTACAGTGTCACCATGGTGACACTGTACTGCTAGGGTGACAGTATGTAAAAAAAAAAAAAATAAAATAAAAAAATAATATAAAAAAATAAAATAAAAATGTAAAAAAAATGTTTAAAAATTATAATTTTTGGTTATAAACTAATTTGGCTTATTTTTTTTTACTAAAAATATAACGGAATACATTTTGGCAAGATTTATGATGAAAGATTATTTATTTGCAAAATTTTATAAGAAAAACACTTTTTTTCAAACTTTTTGGACTTTTTCATTTACATAGCAAAAAAAATAAAAATCCCAGCGGTGAATAAATACCACCAAAATAAAGCTTTATCTATCTCAAACAAATGGTAAAAAATTCATATGGGTACAGTATTGCATGACCGCGCAATTGTCATTCAAAGTGTGATAGCATTGAAAGCTGAAAATTGGCCTGGACATGAAGTGGTTAAGTGACAGAATCCCTTTAAAGGTAGGAAAAAAAAACACGAGGAAGTTGTTCTGGGAAATTACATATCCTAAGCATTCTAATTTCAGTCAGAAGGTGAGAATGCTTTCAGTTTAGTAGTATTTTCCAAGCCGGTTCTCAAGTCCCACCAACGGTGCATAATAACTTTATCTGCATAGGCAAAGTCATCTGTGTCTCATCACTGGGAGGGTGCTTATGTAGGCTGTCATTAATATTCTCCCCTGAAAATGTTGATTGCCTGGCTGTCATGCTGGTCCACTGGTATCAACATTTTGAAGCACTGACCTGGAACAACTATGGAGATCAAAATGTCCGACTTTTCTACTCTTCATGCTTATTTCTTGAGTCAGTGACACAGCAATCAATATACAAAAAACTTGAAGCTCAACTCAAAACACTTGCAAAACTTACCGCTGCAGTCCAAAGCACAGATTGGGTGCTGACCTTCATACAAGCTCATCCAGGCTAGCAGAAACCATTTGGAAAACAGAAGGTGGAAATGCCACACACCAGAATCCAGGCACTATATAGAGACGTAAAGGTACGGCTTCAGCACAAACTCCTCCTGGCTATGCTCCTCAGACATGTTTCGCCCCACCTATGGGACTTAATCATAGAGGTTGCTATGATTAAGACCTGTAAGAGGGGTGAAATGTGTCAGAGGAGCATAGTTCAGGATGAAGCTGTATTTTTACTTCTCTGTGTAGTGGCTTGATTCTGGTGTGCGGAGTTTCCACCCTCTGTTTTCCAAATGGTTTCTGATAGCCTGGATGAGCTTGTTTGAAGGTCAGCATCCAGTCTTCTCATCTTCTGTTTTCTGACATAGTATGCAAGCCAAAGACAACCTAGCATTTTCAGAAGGGAATCTGTAATGGCAGACCCGTATTCTCTCAGTATGTTTCTGTTAACCCCCCCTTGAGAATATCCATAAAGCAGGCTTCACATCTCTATGCATCTGTGGTATCCTATGTTTTCTATTGCTTCGGGCAGTTGCCTTGTCATGCTTTACCATGCGCACAAAGCTGTGAATGGGGACTACTACTTGAACAATGAGTGGGATTTGTTAACAGTTTTTGGAAACACTGAAGTAAAGCAGGGGGAAGATCAGTGTTCACTGAAACATAAATTACAATTTGCACTTTGGTCTTTGGCAAACTGTGTAAGCATGGTGTATTTTTCCATCTAGGGGGTATTACATGTAGTTCAGCTGCAGTCCAAGCGCATGGATCTAAACCAGAGTCATGTGTTGCATGCGGCCCTCTTATTCTTTCCTCGTGTCCCTTGACTGTTCAAAGAATTTTAATTGAATGGGGCCCCAAATTGTTTTATAGTTTAAGAAGGGTTGTTGATGAATTCAGGAAATGTTTTTACAATTGTTGGTTAAATAAAGAAAAAGACCAGAGTTAGATGCTAGAGACGTCTAATAATAATATCAGCGGCTGTACATAGAAAAACAAATCCATATTTCCTAACTAGTGTAATAGTTTTTATACTTCCAATTTTTGCTCGTGAGTTGCTGAGTTTGATCCATCCAGCACCATACAAGGTTTGATTGTTCTGCAGACCTACACGAGCTCTTTGGCATAGTGAAAGGGTTAAATGGCGCTCCACTCTTTGATGTCAGAAGTGGTTTGATGAGTAGGGGAAGCATGTAAATTAGGAAATTGAGGGAGATCTGCATCAAATTTGTGCCTGTCTTCTGTACTGTGTGCTTTTAATCAGTGTCATCTTAAATTGGTTCTCTTTAAAGTATACAGATAACACAACATTTGTTTACCTCCAAGTCATGTAATGGTTATTCAGTTAATTCTCATTTCTTAAACGGGGTGATTTGTGTGTAGAAGTTGCTAAGGCTTGTTAAAATCAAAATAATTAAGAGCCGCGTTGGCTTATTTATGTTTAGAAATAGTCAGGCGGCCTTTGAAAAATATTATGTTAGTCTGTTTGGTGGTTTGTTTCCCTGCTTTGTATCAATGCACTGAAAGAGTCTTGAGTTTCAGGAGGACTGAGTATGAAGTGGTCCCTCCTACACATCCTGTAGGCCTGCTCTAATTGGACCACCCTACGTTTAGCGGCATTCCATGGCTTGTAATTGGCAATAAAAGCTACTGATGTTGGAGCTGCTAATAAGAAGCCTTAATGGTTTGTATATGTGACTGTAAATGTAGTTGTCTCATTGATAATCTTACCAGTGCTCTGAAATACCTATACCGATTTGCTGATGGGCTAAAGCTGGCCATACACTAGTAAAATTTTGTTTAAAAGTTTTTTTTTTTAATTCATTTTATTTTCTAATGGTTAGTGGATCAACGTTTCTTTCGGACTGCAATGATGAGAACATTTGAAGGAGCACAGTGGAAACTTTTTTCCTGAATGAATGAGTTTCTAACAGAAAACCAAATTCTCTGTTGGCATCAGGACTGGATCTAGCCTATCTGATCTGGGGGTGCAGCAAATAAAAGTCAAGCATAATGTCAATAGTGTTCGAGAGATGCATGGAAACAGTATTCTCTGTTCGCTCAGCACGCTTCTGTACCACACCTCACAACCCGGAACTAATGTCTGACAGCTAGTGCAGAGGCAGTGCAGGAGTGAACAGGGAACGCTAGTATGCATTAGGCTATAGTGAAAAAAGAGAACCTGTGCCTGCTTATATCAGGTGTACCCAGCAGAGTTCCCCCTCTCATCAGGTGTCCCCACCAGAGTGTCCCTTACGTAAAATGTCCCCCATCAGTGTCCCCCTTTACATCAACTCTCCTTATCAGAGTGGCCCTTACTTAAAATGTCCACATCAGAGTGCCCCTTACGTTAATTGCCCCATTTAGAGTGCCGTCTTACGTGCCTCTTGAGTGCACCCTTACATCAAATTGACCCCTTACATCAAATTTCCCCACCAGACCTCCCCGTTACATCAATGACGCCATCAGAGTGCCCACTTACATCAGATACCCCCATGAAATCTCATGGAGTAGTAGATGTACTCCCAGAGATCTGGGGGGGCACATCTAGAATCCCCCAGTATCCCCTAGATCCAGGTCTTGTTGGCATTATCAGATGTACTGCTGAGATTTTTCATATGAAATATCATTTAAAAATCTACAAGAGTATGGCCAGCTTTAGTTTACCCATAACATTCTCCCTGCCAAGGAACTTCCAGCATTCATTGGAGAAAATGTAACGATATACTTT